ATTTTGACCTGAATCAGAAAACGATGAATCTGCAATTCAGTACCCCCAGAGGTATTGATTTGTTATAGGAACATCGAGGACTTTGAGACTCAATAGATTTAACTAGCCAGTCAGCATTTACTTCACGGGGAGTCTTCGGCCGGAAGGGATCTAACCCACGACCACTTAGACATGGGCCCAGTGCCCTACCAACCAGGCTATCCCGACCCATGTCATTTATTTAATTAGATAAATAATTCCAAGAAACTGATGCCGTGGAATCTTGTTTTATTCATATGAATGCTGATTCCCTTGTTCCAGCCCACAATTTATGTTGAGTACCAATAAAATACGATTGCAAAAGGTTAAATAAAATGTAAAAAAAAAGGACTCATTTTTAATTGTAAAAATATACAAGATAAAAGGAAACAAAATATGATAATATAAATATTAGTTTATTCCCACTTCCATAATATACAATACAAAAATAATTTTTTAAAAATTTCCAATATTCATCAANACCGATTTTTTTGTGCGGAAAGACCGGTGTTTCCAGTAAACTACTAAAATGATCCATCACCAACCAACAGTCGTCTAAATCTCATCTAAAAATTTCCTTTGCACTGAAGCTCCTGACCTTCACCCACTACTCCACCATTGGACACTATTTTCCTGTCTCTCAACATGGATTCACCTAAATAAAAGAACTATTGGTTTTTTATAAGTGACTATCTTTCTTTGAGTGATTTATTCCTATAGATTTTCTGGAAGATAACGCCAGGTAAATACTTTGTTTTTTTCCTGTTTCTCTCTTTTTGGGTTATTCGGACACTATGCGTAATTGTATTAATTGTCTTTTTATGAATCGGCCATATTTCTTCTGAATTCAGTTGTTTTTTTAAATATGCTACTTTTTCATTTTTATTCTATACCCAACCGTAACAGGGCAATACAATAACTTGTTGAACAAACTAATATTATTTTTAAAAACAATACTCATTGTTTTAACTTTTGGTTTTCAATTTTAAGACTTTTTTTCAGTTAACAATAAGGTTATAATTTTTGTTCTAACTAAAAAGAAAAAAATAATAAAAATTTTATTTTAAAAAATAAGTTTCCTAGAAAAAGTTATTTTTGTACGAACTCAAAACTAAAAAGAAAAAAAATAATAAAAATTTTGTTTTAAAAAGTTTGTTTCCTAGAAAAAGTTATTAATAATAAAACATTTTACATTTAATTTTTCCTTTCAGTAACTACTCCACTTAAAACGTCCAGTCAGATGAATCTTAATCCTGAAAGTTGCATGCATTTCTTATTTATAAATTTTTTGTTTTAGTTTTCCCAGAAATAAAAACAAGGAATTTTTTTTCTTCTTCGTATTTTGCAGAAAAGATGAAACATTGAAAATAAGGATTGTCATTGTGTTTCAATAATAAGCTGTTCAATTTTTTACTAAGCTCTTAAAATTAATGGTGTATAGTAGGCTTTGGTATAGTGCGCCAAAAGAACGAACCACCCTGAATAACTTTTGATCCTAATGATCGCGTTTTAGGGCTCAATCTTAATGGTTCGAAGAGGTGACGACAAATATGCTAATTAAGTAGTGCAGACGATATTTTAAGTTACGAAATCAGACACAAAAACGTACTTTCTCTGAATAAACGTACTTTTTTTTATATAACGGATTCGGATTTATGACCAACAAAATATAGAGGGTAGCGGCAATCTGGGAAATATGGACAACGTGGTTTGGTCAGGAGAGCGATTCAAAATTCGGACCCCATAATGTTAATTTTACTTTTAGCGCATTTCACCATGTGTCCATTAATTTCGTAACCTAAAATATCGTCTGCATTAATTAATAAGCATATTTAAGGTCATCCTCTCGAACTATTCAGATTGAATCCTTGAAAGTGAAGATCCGATCATTTAATCATAAGTTATTCAGGGTGGTCCGTTTTTTTTTGGCGCACTGCGCGCATATTTTAAATGCTTAGTAAAGAGTTGAAACAGCTTATTATTGAAACACAATGACACTCCTTATTTTCAATCTTTTATCTTTTCTGCAAAATACGAAGAAAAAAAAAACCCTCATTGTTTTTGATTCTGGAAAAAACTACAACAAAACATTTGTATTAAAAATGCATACAACATTCAGGGTAGAGATTTATCTGACTGGACATTTGAAGTGAAGACTTGTATTATCTTCAAGCAGTTAAAATCTATCATATGATCACACAAACTAGCCAAAAAGAAATGTCGCTGTTGTCGTAGGCCATTAAGGCAAGGGGTGCGTTTGTTCATGGTCTTTAGTGGCGTCATCTATTGCAAAAAATTCGACTTCTGCCACACTCATGCGTCACGTCCGTTTATCGGGCGGACCTATTCATAAATCCACAGATCGTAATTTTGACCTTAACCAGAGAACGATCAATTCAGTACCTCCAAAGGAATAATTTGTAATGAATAGGAACATGGAGGACTTTGTGATGAAGACAGATTTAACGTGCACCAGTGACCATTTTCTACACGGGGAGTCTTCGGCCGGCTGAATTTAAACTCTCGTTCCCACGAACGTGAGTCCTGCGTCTTACGAACTACGACGACAAAAAAAAAGAAATAAAATAAAAATTTGCCTGTATAGTGTTTTAAATAATTGAAACTACGATTGTAAGCTAACTCAGAGCTCCAGTTAAAAACTCTAGTGAGTTGTAACGTGGAACATTTTGAGTAACGATTATAAATGTAATCTACTGATCTTGACTTCAGATGGATTAGAAAGCATTTTGATAATAATAATTAATAGCACCCTTCGTGAAATTTATAGTACTTGTTTATTATTGTGAATTTGCAATATTCCGTTTTGAACAAATAAAATGGAGTCTCTCATTTGGTACTATGTTATAAATGAATTAGATTGCGCTTTTTTGATGTGCAATTCCCCCCCCCCCCNCCCCCCCCCCACTTCTTCTCGAATTTAATGAGGCAAATAATATTTGAAGAATGAAAAAATATCAGAAATAATGAAAAGCAATTTTAAAAACAAACTTTACTCAATCCAACGGTGTTTGGATGGCCAGCACTAACTTTGCAGTTTAGCCCTGAAAATAGCTTTTAACCATTCCAAGGGATTAAAAAAAAGCCAATTTAAATAGAAAACATCGGAAAAAAAATTCTAAATCTATATTTTAAATTCCCTTTTGTGCAATTACACGGAGACAGATTTTGTCGGATACGTTCATAAAATTAATGAAGCATAGAGTTAACTCTCACAAATACAAATTAACCTCTTAATTGGACACTTTTTTTAACCAGAAATTTTTACAGAAAGGCTTTGATTAGAATAGTTATAAATCATACTTAATAGAATAAGAAAATGGGAGAATTTTTTTTAAAAACTAATGTCAAATAGTTATTTAATTCACATTTCAGCATCAATATTTAATAAAATAAAAAATTTTATTCAAGAGCGCTGCACACAGCAAAACTGAAATATTTTATAAAGTAATTAACTCCTTTTTCCTAAAGCACTTATAAAAAACATTTCAAGGACCGGGACAAGCTACACCATCTGTTGAAACATATTGGTACAACAAAATTTCCTTAAAATTAAAAATGCAGAAAAACCAGAAAAGTAAAAAATAGCATTGCCAGCTAGGTCTAAATTTAGGTAGCACATACAGTGTATAGGTGAAGGTTTTAACATTTTGCGGTCCAAATGCAATCCCCCAATTTCTGTTCAGTGGCGGATCAAGCGAAGGCAAAATTAAAAAAAAAATTCATAATAATTTTTTTAATAGTTTACAAAAGAAATAAAGTATTTTAAAAATTATTTAAGGGGGCATATACACCTAGGTAGGTCGGTAAAATCGATTTTCTTTCCATCTAATTATGTTCTTCACTGTATGTTGAGAATTTTAATAACTCTGCCAGCTAGTGCAGCAACGTTCCTTTTCAACTCTTCGATGTCTCAAAACTTGGCTTAAGAGCAACTCAAAATCAAGAACGATTAAATGGACTCGCATTATTAAACATATACCGAGAAATTGATTTGGATGTTGAAAAAATCATTGACAGATTCGCCAAAGTTTCTAAAAAACGCATTACATTTATTATTTAAAGATGTTGAATACTTGAACTATTTATGTATTGTTCGTGATGAAAAAAAAAAATAAATGAGAAGACCAGCATTAAAAACCAGTTTTTTTTCCTTCAAAAAAACTATTAAAAAAAATGTTTTTTTTTTTTTTATATCAAAAATTTTGTGTGTGTGTGTGGGGGGGGGGAAATCTGAGTCTATGACCCCCCACCAGGAAAAATTTCTGGATCCGCCCCTGAGTACCATTAAAATATGACTGCAAAAGGTTAATTAAACTGTTGTAAAAAAAGGACTCAATAATAATTGTAAAAATATACAAGATAAAAGGAGACAAAAGATGATAATATAAATATTAGTTTATTCCCACTTCCATAATATACAATACAAAAATAAATTTTTAAAAATTGCCAATCCTCATCAATGCATCTAAAATTTTTTTACATACGCATATGTATTTGTAAGTAAAAAATTTATACTCAATTTTTTTTTTTTTTTTAAAAATGTGGCAAAAGTCATTTATATAAAAATAATTTTGACAAATATATTTTCAATAAAATTTTTAAACCATTTCACTTTCTCTCCTTTTTTAGAAAATGAATTAGTTTTAACATTAATAAATTATATGACAATAAATATTACATGATTGGTTTCAGATCTGTCTCCAAGAAATACTGTACATAATAACACAATAAGAGAACCAAAATTTTTTCATACAAATGTTTTTACCATTTCAAAGATTTTTATAATTTTTTTTTATACAATATATGTTTGAAAACAATGCAATTCTCAAACAAATGCCTCATTCCAAAGATCTAACCTTATTTACAATAACTTACAAAAAATAACAAACATTTATATTGCAAAGAAAACAGTAACCTCATATTTTTGTAAGTAGAAGTTTACATGAGGGTTGGCTACAACCAGAATGTTTAGACCAAAAGAAACCTATTTTTATGATGTACAAGACTTTATCAATTTATTTACTCTAAAAAGATGAAAGATACAATCATTTTATTCAGAATCAAAAGTTTCAAAAACTTTTAAACAGCTCGTAATAAAAAATGCAAAAAAAAAAAAGAAAAAAAAAATTACAAATTTTTTTTTTTTTATAAAATATTTATACAAGTTAAGCTTCTATAAAAGTTGTATACCTTATTGTATACTATTAACTTTTCTGATTAAATTTTTTTTTGTTTTTGAAAAATCATTTTTTTTACCATTTTATTAAAAGGCTTTTCAAACAGAAAAATAATTTTTTAAAGAAATTTTTGGATTAGATTTGATTAAATTAATATTGAATAACATTAACTGAATTTGATACAATTAGAAAATGTGTAAACAAACAAAATAAAAATTAAGAAAATAAGTAGCATACTTTAGAGTCATGAAACTAATATTTACATAAATAATATAAACACAAGAAAGAATTTTTTGATAAAACATTGAGGCAACAAAATAAAAAAAAAAGTTCAATATATTTTTGCAACAAAAAATATTCAAGCATGCCCTGTTTTATTTTTCGCCAACCCTGACTTGATTTATAAGCTTAAGCAGTTTATTCCATTCTAAAATACTAAAATATCGAAGAGAACAAAAAAAAAATCTCTATGAACTTCCCTTTGAATCCGCATAAAAATGACAATCTTAAAAATGGATGATCATGAAATATAAAACAGAGATTATAGATAAAATTCTCGTGAAAGAATGTCTCTTGAATATTAAAAAATAAGTGAAAATTAGTATAATTGCAATATGATAGATGTGAAATAGTTACAAAGTCGATATACTTCTTGGTTATGGCAAACAAAAAAGCTGAGAACTATTAGATACAGTAAAAAAAAAATAACAAGGAAAATTAAGACTTTCTTATAGTGTGGTGATGGGAAAGATTAATACACTTCTTATTAATTAGATGGCACTACTTGTCAGGCAAAAATTGTTACAATAAAGCATTATTGTGAGATTAATTTCAAACAGACAACAAAGTTAAGGTGGGTGTGCACAATTGGTCCAAACAACATTATTTTTTTACAGACATGGGACCACAATGGGAAAAATGTCTGATTATAGACAATATGTCCGAATATTAATAAATAAATTACGGGAAATTGTTTCTAGCTTGTTTTTTTTTCTTCACTGTACCTAATATGCAAATGGTTAATTTAATGAAATAGAAACAATAACAAATGATGAAATAAAATAAGAAACAAGTTAATAACAATCTTTACTAAATTATGAGAACTAATTTGGGGCTAAAATATTAATAGATTCATTACAAAGAAAAATCAAAGGTGTATGATATTTAAGAGTTTTTGATAAAAGAAAAACATGGCAAAATAAACACAAATTATACTAAAACACAAACAACTTAATAAAAACAAGAAAATGTTTTTTAAAAAAATGAATTAAAGAGATGAAGCAAAAATCTGAAAATTTCAATATTGAACCAAATTTTCATTTACCTATTCATTGCTAATACATACAATTTGGCACTTTAGTATAGATAACAACAATAGTATTTTATTATTTAATTATTATTAATAGATAAACATATTAAAAAAATTTAGCATGTTTATTTTCATTTATCTGTGAGTTATTTGCTCACTTGTTATAAGTTAGAAATTATGTTTCAAATTTGAATGAGTTGTTTCTATATTTATAGATGCAATTTTTCTTTCTATTCTATAAATTCTAAGAAAAATGTCATGTAGATTATAGATTCAATGTTCAAGCAAACAACAAAATTCACATAAAAAAATAGAAAAAGAATATTGAAAATTAATAACAGCCTTAAGAGATAAATATATTTATTTCGAGTGATATCAAACAAATATTTTTTAAAAAAAGCATATTATTAAAAGACAGATGATTCATTGCAAATCTCATCAATATATTTAATTTCATTTTAGAAAATATTAATTAAAATCTAAAAATACTTACTTATACACAAGTTGATTGCATAAGAAAGTATTTTATAATAAAAAAAAAATCTCGAAAAAATAAAACTTTAAAAATTGTCCTATGAAATAAAATAGGACTTAGCTACCTTAAAAGGTCTGCTCATTTAGACAGTAACAGATACTACCTTTAAAGCATTGTTTAGTAGCAGTAACTGATATAACCTATAAAGCATCGTTTAGTTGAAGTAACTGATACTACCTCAGGGTGCGTAGCCAGATTCTACAACAAAAAATAAGCACATTTTAAATACTTTTTAAGCACTCACTTAAATACTTTCCAATCCCTTTCCAAAAAAATATATATATTTTTTTTTTGCAGAAATTTGTGCAGCAATAAAAATAATTTTCTTCCCTGTCGTTTAAAGTTCTTAATTTATAAAAATAAAATCGATAAAATTCAAAAAATTTACATAATCATGATAAAATAACAACTAGTTTCTGATAAATACTGCAGAAAAAATTATGTTTTTTTTTTTTTTTTTGCAATTTAGAACAATCGATACAGCAAAGAAAAAAATCTCTTCTTAAAAGATAGAAAATTAAGCGCTTTTTAAAAACCCCAAATGAAAAAAGCACCTTTAAGACCTTTTAAAAAACATAAATAAAAAAATAAGCACCTTTGAGCACTTTTTAAAAACGCTACGCACCCTGTACCTTTAAAGCATTGTTAATTGCAGTAACTGATACTATCTTCACAGCATTTGCAGTAACTGATACTACCTTCAAGGTTTTGCAATAACTTTTATGAGGGGAAAAAATAAAAGGTACAAAATTTAAAAAGGTAGTAATCAATCAATCACAACAAAATTAACTGTCTTAAAGATAAAATTGCATCTAAACATGGCATTTTCAAAATTCTAAAAATTGGCATTTGCCGAATCGATTCCACACATTATCGTCATGGATGAAGGACATGTTTCATTGCAATACAGTTTCTCTGTACACCAATATGATTGTCACCTCCCTAATAGAGAGGTTTTGAATAAATTTACAGGAAATAAATTAAAACCAAACAGATGCTGCTTCCACTTCTTTATTCACATCCACAGGTGATTAATTACATGATTTGGGCACCTTTAAAGGAGGCCTATAAAGGTAAAAAAGAAAATAAAGAAAGAATAAGAGTAAAAATTTTTTAATAAAATAAAACTTATTTACTTAACACCTTTGTAATTGATTAAAGCAAATGATTGCTGTTAGATTCCTTCTCTAATCGCAGTGAATTGAAAGTTAACCTTAGATAAGTTAGACTCTGTAGCTTATCATTTGACTCATAGACTAAAAATTAAATACTTGCTAATTTTTTTATTATTAATGTCAATCAAATCAGCACTTATTATGGGAAATACACATCAATTTTTATTAAAAAGATTTAAACATTTCAAAATGTGACATTAGTTACTAAATATCGATGCAAAAATATTGAACTTTCAAAATTATAAAAATTGACAATTGTACAAATGTAGTTTAAAATGATTCATAGGTGTCAGATAACAAAACAGATATTATGTACGCAATTTACAAGCTTTATATAAAACTTATTTATAACTTATTTAAACATAACTTACATATAACTTATTTAAATAAAACTTATTTACTTAACAGATTTGTAATTGATTAAAACAAATGATTGCAGATAGCTTCTGCACTAATTGCAGAGAATTGAAAATTAAGCTTAGATAAATTAGACTCCATATCTTATCATTTGACTCATTGGCACCTGCTGATTTTCTTTTTTATTAATGTCAATCAAATCAGCACTTATTAAGGGAAATACACTTTAATTTTTATTAAAAATACTGAAATATTTTAAAATGTAACACTAGTTATCTTTGAAGATATTAAAATGTTGACTTCTCGAAATTATAAAACCTAGCAATTTTGGGTACAAGTGTGGTTTTAAAATTATTTTATAGGTGACACGTAACAAAACAGATAATATACGCAACTTATAAGTTTTATATAAACAATTAATAATAATTTGTTTTGTACTTAGATGGTGGTTTTTAAACAATTAACAATTGTACCATGTTGATCAATCATTAAAATGTTAAACTTCATTCATCAACCAAGTGAATAATTTCACTTTAGATTGAAAATTTGATGACAACTAAAACGACTCATTTCTTTTCATACTGTCAATACAACAATATATATTATATGAGCAGAGATAGACAAAATTAAAAATCACCATTGGACACAGGGTGACTAATTATAAGAGCGTGACTAAGAATAAAATTTTTATAACCGACGGTGAACAACTGACCGAAATTTATGGATTTACGACCACTAATGTTTAATCCAGAAGACAAGGAAACTTCCGAATGGGCGAAATTTGTCCTTGTGGAAGAATTTTTGAGGGAAATAGCCCGCATTTGCATTATATGGAGAGGAAAACCACAAAAACCTCCCACAGGTAGCCAAACGGCAAGGGAACTGTAACCCATGATCTGTCTACCACTGAGGACTTTTTTTATCGTCAGCTTAGGTTCATTTCATTATTAGTATTATTATTTAAAAACCATGGAATTAGTATGAATATTAAAAATTTTTTTTAATTGCCTGCTCGTCTCGTAAAACTTTTCTTCAATTTAAAAGTGAACCTTTTATTGTTTTTATCATGTCTTGAGAAATGCACAAGTCTTAGATTTTTTGCAACAGTTTTTATAATAGTTAAAAAGATTTTAAATTTTAAAACTGTTAAAAATGCAATAAATGGCCAGTAGCAACGTTTCTTAATTTTGCCCTATATAAGTGGGGTAACTTACAATGCTGCCTTCATTCGCTATCAAGTGAGTTTTGTACAATGACTAGGCCTTCCTGTAAAGATAAAGAGTAATTAGAAAACAAAAAAGAAAGCCCAATCAATTAACATGTCTTAACAGTCTATGAAAGAAAAAATAATTAAAACAACATTTTTTTTTCTTCTTAAGGGCAAGGAACACTCACATCATTAAGAAATAGCAATTAATAATTTAAATTATTTATCCCTATTAGCAATGCTAATACAAACAGTGGCTTTAAAATAATTTAACTTTCACTAAGGTACAAGAGGTTATGAAGATGGCAATGAGGTCACTATTGCAATCAGCTTTATTTCACAGACAAGCAGGCTCCCATCTATCTGAGCCTGTGTAGGCTTCAAGCTGCCATCTGTCAACAACAGTTCAGAGCCATAGCCACAGTGCTATTAAGGCTCTTTCACTTATGCATTCACATTATTTTGTACACAACTCAAAAGACAAGGGAATTCTTTAATCCAACTAATGTGACCATCACATACTTGGTGGGCTGATTGAGCAGGACTTAGAGGCATTTACATTATCTCAGAGAAAAATCAAACAACCTAATGTAGGGAGCTATTTGCAATGGGAATCAGATTTTAAGCGATTTATTACTAACGATTTCAACATAGCTGCCTGAGTTGTTATGGCAATGTTATTATTTTTAGATCGTGCCAAAAAGCAAAGAATCACAGGTGTAGATTATTTAAAACAAAGATATTATTTAAAAAAATTACAACAAATTATCAGGACACTCACAAAATATGGGCTTTTTTTGAGCAAATATTTTTATTTAATAAATTGCAGAGTAATCACAAATCTCCAAGTTGCTTAATTTCAAACAAGATCACACTCCCAGCTTGAAATATAAGATGGTTGAATTCAAGAATCTCAATTAGTATTATTTGCATTTTATATTAATTTAGTATTTTTTTTGTAAATAGATCATATCTCTACAAGTTTTAAAAGTTGCGGTAATCATTACCAATCAAAAATATCATTACCTTCAGAATCTTCAAAATTTACAGGTGACACAGAATGAGATTCTTCATTAACATTGCTTCTTGTTTGAGATTGTTGCAGTATATCCTCTTCTAATGGATTTAATCTAAAGAAATAATATTTATTTTATTGTAAACTCAAATTTATTTTTTTTACGGTCATTTAAAAATATTTTAAAGCTTTAAATATATATTTTTATACTATATTAAATAATTAGAGAGGCAAAGACCCAAAAGTTCATCTTTCAATTTTACAAAAACTGTATTGATTTAAAAACACAAGCATTTAATAAGAAAATAAACTAACACTTTTCTCCCTGAGATGTTACAAAGATAATTTAGGCTTAAATTTAAAAATGAAAAAGGTTATATTATTATTAAAACACCTGTACGCTGAGAAGAAGGGAAGAGTTGGAATACAAACTTCGTGGTTTTTAAACTGGCTAAAATATAGCAGACATTTTACTTTAACAAAAGTTTATTAACAAGAACACATTTCTTTCAAAACTAATTCCGTAAATAGTGAATATCAGAATCACTTTATACCTGAACACATATGCATTTTAAAATTAATTCTGCAAATGGCGGATTTTCAGAATAACTTCGTAACTTTGAAATTCAAGCTTTTGCAGTAGGGTAAAATAATGGCATAATAAAGCTATTTTTAGCATAAACATTTTAATTTAGTTAATTTTTCCAATTGCGAAAAATTTAAAAGATTATGTCAGCATATTAAAAAATGTTATAATACAAATGGTAGTAGACAAACTTTTAACAATTTTAATAGAACATGGACGCATTACCTGGCTTGCTTCAAAGCCATTTGTTTAGCAACATGCAAAGCTCTTAGTTGAGATGGCGAGAGAGTTTCTTCAGTGGCATTACTATTCAACTCATCATCTATTCTTTGATCAACATCTGATTCTGGATTTGAGATTAACCGGTTTTCTTCAGAAATAAAGCTAAAACATAATTTAAAACAATATATATAGTAAACAAATTGACATTGTTATGGAAAAAGCTCTTATAATTTAGAGTAATGAGTGAATGTGGAAGTATTGCAATGGTGGGGAGGGGGCTCTCTCCCTCTCCATATATATATATATATGGAGATATATGGATATATATATATATATATGGAGATATATGGATATATATATATATATATGGAGATATAT